CTCGCAGGACGCGTCCGGGACCTTGCTCCCCCCACCGGCCCCGCCGCGCGCGCGCCAGGAGCGCCCGAGGGCAGAGCGCCTGCCTCGCCCAGCTCGACCAGCGCCCCCCAAAAGGCGCAGGGAACCCGCGGAGGTCAGAGACGACAGAGATGCTCCACGGGGTCTCCCAGGCACCCCCTCAAGATGTCCCGGAGTCCTGACCCCCAACCCTTGCTCCTGGGACCCCTGCTCGGCCCCAAACCCTCGGTGGTGCCGGCCCTGCGCCCCTCACCCTCCTCTCCCGCAAACACGGGCGGATGGGCCCTGGGGCCCGCGGGCGGGGAGGGCCCGCAGAGCAGGGGTGGCCCACGACTCGGGAAGGGGGGCCGCAGCCTGCGGGGGTGGGAGGAGGCCCCCCCGCAGAGCCCCAGGGTCCTGGGGCGCTCCTGCTTCATCCCCATCTGCCCCCTGCAGACCCGGGGAGGAGGGACCCCCAGCGCCCCGCACCCCCTGGGGGGACACCTCAGACCAGCCTGGGCCCGCCAGGGGCCCCTAGGGGCCCGGCCACCCGCTGTGGGCCCAGGAGTCCGCGGGTGCAGGGAGGGGGCAGGCGCCCCCCACTCCAGAGCAGCCGGCCGCGGGTTTCGGCTCCTTCAGAGGGCGCAGGCTCCCCGCGGCCGTCCCCCAGGGCCACGCCAGCGGTTGCCCGGCGCCAGGGTTCCCAGGGGAGCCAGAGGTGCTGCGGGCGCCACGGGGAGCTGCCCTCCTGGACCCCGGGGCCCCGCAGTGATTGGGGCGCGCCCCTGGCCACTGCACCCCAGGACCCGGGATGAGCCAGAGCAAGCATGGGCCCCAGAGCCGGGTCCGCCCCGCGCCCCTTGGCTCTGGCCGGCGGCAGCTTGGCCTCCGCTGGCCAGAGGCGGGCGGTCGGCGGCCCCCTCCACTCGCCCCGGCCAGGCCGCGGGCTCTGCGTCACGTCTGTCTGTGGGAGCACAGGCGCCCCCCCCCAGGCAGACGCGGCTGGCGGTTGCCCCGGCAACAGCTCAGGCTGCTCGGCTCCCCTGGCTTTGGGGGGCTGTGGGGACAGGCCCTTGCTCAGCTGGCGAGCGAGGGGCCTCAGCCCCCAAGGGGCTCCGCTGGGCCTTGTGTCGGCTGTGAGCCCCTTTGGGGCGAAGGGGTGCGCGGGCTGTCCCCGTCCCTGCTCCAGGGCTGTCCGGGGAGCCCTGTGCTCCCAGCATCCCCGGGCTCCGTGGGGCCCCGGGCAGGCTGCCTGCTCCCCAGAGGGGTCCACCCTGAGGAAGAGGTGGAGCAGCCCTGCGGGCTAGTGGAGGGGCCCCCACCAGGCCCTGGGAGATTTGGGGCGTAGAGGGACCCCTCATTTCCTGCATGTCAGATGAAGACGTGTGTCCAGCTGCTGGCCCAGGGGCGTCTGTGAGAGCCCGGCTGGCGTGCGGGGAGCCCGGGGGAAGGCAGGGGCCTGGGGTGCTGGCTCGGCGGGCGGGCCAGGC